TTTTTTTCCTTTTTTTATATTCCCGGGTTTCGGCACCAATTATTTATGTGGGGAACAAGGTTAACGGAAAAGGTTRATCTGGAGATTTACGCGATAGTCGTCAATTAAAGTAACAAAAATATATAAATTTATTAACAAGATACAACTAAACTCTTGGACGCCATATATAGGACTAACTTACATTTCGACCGTTACGTTCAACTTGGGTTTAGTTAGTCTAGTACCCGCATAGGGAGGAAGGGCGCCAGTGTGCCGCGTCGATACACTAGGCACGTATCGCCACAATCCTAGTCACACTAACGCGCTCTAGTGGCAAAAATCTGTCCCGTCATTTTCGTACATTTCTAAAGCATTGCGTGCGCCCTCCTGTTATCTAGCTCCGTGCTTTTCATATTGGGACCTCTGGCAGAGGCGTGGTTTACTCTAGCGGCAAAAACATGAATGAGAATCTGCAGGTTACTCAGAGAACAACGTAAAAATATTTTTATAAATTTATCATTTTTTGGTAATTAAATGAAATAAAATGAAACTTACATTGCAAGAAATTTGTAAGTTTTCTTACACAAAACCAAGCAATAAAAATTTTGTTGGTGGTGAAAGTGTATTAAATGCTGCACAAGTGATTAAGTGTGGGCAAGTACCAAGTCGTGATTGTAATATTATAAGTATTTTAGCTTTTTGTTTACAAACTTCACATATTAAAGGAAATCCACATGAAATAACTGGTGGAATATTAAAAAATGGGCGAATAATTGGAATGAGTTGTTCATACAAGGCTGGTTTAAGTGGTATTTGTAAATATGTTGTTGCAGTATTGCAATATCATTAACCCATTGCCGCAAATGACGGCTATAGCCGTCCGATCTTCGTATTTCTAAGCACGATCGTCAAATTAAAAGTGTGCGGCAACGTGTTAACTGCCACTAATTTAATTAATCTTGTACGTATTCTTTCTTCTCGAGAATCTATTTGATCTACTGGACAAGTACATTCTTTGGATGATCCTAAAGGAAGATTTTGACTAGGAATACTTGTTTTTTTTAAATAAGTTCGAGTTGAATCAATAGCTATAACAATACACAAAAACAATATCCTACTAGAGATCAAATAGATTCTCGATAAGAAAGAATACGTAGAAGATCAATTGAATTAGTGACAGTTAATGATATTGCAATACTGCAACAACATATTTATAAATACTACTTAAACCAGCCTTACATGAACAACTCATTCTAATTACTCGACCACTTTTTAATATTTCATCAGTTATTTCATGTGGATTATCTTTAATATGTGAAGTTTGTAAACAAAAAGCAATAATACTTATAATATTACAATCACGACTTGGTACTTGCCCACACTTAATCACTTGTGCAGCATTTAATACACTTTCACCACCAACAAAATTTTTATTGCTTGGTTTTGTGTAAGAAAACTTACAAATTTCTTGCAATGTAAGTTTCATTTTATTTCATTTAATTACCAAAAAATGATAAATTTATAAAAATATTTTTACGTTGTTCTCTGAGTAACCTGCAGATTCTCGTTCATGTTTTTGCCGCTAGAGTAAGCCACGCCCTGCCAGAGGTCCCAATTGTCAAGTATTTATAATTAATACAAATATATTTACTGTTTTGTTATAAACAAATTTTATGTTCATAAATGTTTTATAAATAAATATTTTCACAGATTATTTAATTATTTACTATTGGAGTTGTTATTCATCACTAGTATCGTTAAACTAAAAAATTGTTGCAAAGAATTTCTTTTTTTGGTTATGGAGTTCCCAGCAAGAAAAAGTAAAAGTAAAGTGTATTGCTGTGTATTTGGTTGTAAAAGCCTAGCTTGTCGTGATGAAAAAATTAGGTTTTTTCAAATTCCACCTCCTAATAAACATTTTATTTATCGAATAAACAAATTTGGTGATAAAGAAATGATTGATAGACATATAGCTTGGGCACGAGCACTAAAATTTAGAAAAAGTATAACTCCCAATATGAGAGTCTGTTCACTCCATTTTATTAAAGATGATTTTTTACCTTCACGTAAGTATTTTCAA